CGACCTATCAGAAATGGCAGGCGAGCGCTTGCGAAAGAACTCAAGCGAAAACCGCGCAGCAGTGTCAACTACTGGCCATCATTACACGCCGCCAACATTCGGCTGCCGACCGCAAACGCCAGCGAACATTTTGTTCGTTTAGTGCGTATTACACACGCGGCGCACGAAACGACGCGAAAATCCTCCCCTTTTTTATCCGCCTGCGCATCGAGGAGACTCGATAAACACGCGCCGACGCGCCGACTACTGTGTGCACACACGCGGGCGTTGGCTATACAATACGTACGTACACCGCGCATCACACAATTGCAGTCGGACAAACGCACGCCAGCCACAGCACACAACACTCGCCTTTAGCTGATCATTCGAGCAATCAAGTTGCTGTCGGCGCTTGCGCCGCGTGTTTTGTAGCGGCGTGCGCAGTCGCCGTCGTCACGGTCTCGCTCTGCCGCGCGACGCTGCAGTGTGGTCGTGCGCGCACGACGGGTGCATGATGCTCGCTTCCTAGTTGCTGTGCCCCCCCTCCCCTCCCCCCCCCCCCCCCCGCCCCCCCCCCCCCTGTGGCTATGTATATATACGGCCAATGCGCATGAAGATCGTGTGAATGAGATGAATGAACTGACAGCCAGGGCGAGTCGGTCAGGCCATGATGGACGCGGCGTTAGAGATGGAGGAAAAAATAAGAGAGAGCTGAGATAATGACAGAGAGAAATACGAATAAACTAAAAACTGAAAAAACTGAAGAAAGAAACACGGCGAGCAGAAAATGTTGAGAAGACCCTGCCCCCCCCCTCGTCTCTCTCTGCTCTCTCTCTCTGCCTGCTCTCTTCTCTCTCTCATCATATAATAATTATATATATATATATATATATATATATAAGACGACTGGCGGGATGGGGTGCACTACTCGAGGACACTCTTCTCCAACTGGAACAATAAATCATTGTTCGGACTTTAATCAAGATGTAACTATCTCTCTCTGTGTGCGTGCGTGCGTGCGTGTGTGTTCGTGGGTGCGTACGTGCGTGTCATCAATCGTCATCAAGATGGCATTACAGCGGCAATTACCCGCAATCACAATGCAATGTCGCTCGCCATTAGCCCGCTTTTACCGCTGTTTAGCACACCGTCCCGCCAGCGACTACGGAAGCAACTTCCGAGGATGCAGCAGCCGATCTCCTGCTCTCTCGAGCACGCCTCTCTGGGTGATGAGGACTCAACAGCCGTGAGAATGCTCGCCGGTAGTGCCTCTTCTCACGGGCGTGCTCGTGGTGATGAGCTGTCAGAAATATTGGTCGGGACCTCACCAGGGTTTTGCGAACTACGGCGCTTAATTCCTTATATGCGGCGAACATCCCGCGACCATTTCCCAACGAATGTCTTTT